GGATCTCAACCGTTTACAAGTTTTCAAAAAGAAGAGGGTGGGGTTTACCACCGTGGACTTCCGTTAAATTTCATTTGATTTGTTTTATTGTCCCATTCAAGAATATATATGGTTTAGGGGTGGGATCTCAACCGTTTACAAGTTTTTAAAAAGAAGGGGTTGGGATTTATCCCCGTGGACTTCATCTATATTCCATTTGATTTGATATATTGACCCATACAAGAATATATATAGTTTCTGGGTGGGAATCTTGACCGCTTACAAGCTATCAAAAAGAAGGGGGTGGGGGTTACCCCAATGGACTTCCCCTATATTACATTTGATTTGTTTTATTGTCCCATACAAGAATATATATGGTTTAGGGGTGAGGGTTCTTAACCGTTTACAAGTTCTTAAACAGGAAAAAGGTGGGGGTGACCCCAGGGGACTCGACTTTTATTTCATTTGATTTCTTTTATTGTAATATACAAGAAGAAAAATGGTTTCAGTGTGGGGATCTTGACTGTTTACAAGTTTTCAAAAAGAAGGGGGTGGGGTTTACCCTCGTTGACTTCCCCTAAATTTTATTTGATTTGTTTTTTTGTCAAATACAAGAATAAATATGGTTTAGGGGTGGGGATCTCAACCGTTTACAATTTCTCAAACAGAAAGGGGTGGGGGGTTACCACAATAGACTTCCCCTATATTTCATTTGATTTCTTTTATTGTCCCATACAAAAATATATATGGTTTAGGGGTGGGGATCTCGACCGTTTACAAGTTCTCAAACAGACACGATGGGGGTGACCCCAGGGGACTCACCTTTTATTTCATTTGATTTGTAACATACAAGAATATATATGATTTCAGGGTGGGGAGCTTGCACATTTACAAGTTTTCAAAAAAAAAAGGAGGGTAGCTGTGAACCCGAGGACTATCCCAATATTTCATTTGATTTGATTTATTGTCCCATACAAGAATATATATGGTTTAGGAGTAGGGATCTCAACCGTTTACAAGATAAAAGCACATTATCAAATTGAAGGGAGTAGGGGTAAGAATATATATGATAAACGGACACTTAATTATCTACAAAATGTCTAATAATGAACAGTAAATTCAAAACTTCATTTATACAGTTATACTAGTAAGTTTCAAACTGTATACATACAGTCCTACAGATCTAATCAGAAAACAGAAAATTTTCAAATAAATCTGTCACTCCAATGATTATCATATGCTAAAATATTTCCAAGATCTAATTAATAATGAAAATTAATCATTATCATATGCTGCATATAATATCTAATTGAACAGAACTATGGTTGTTTAACATAGTACTCTAACATAATTAATAATGTCATAATCTTCAAAATGTCTAATGATATAGCTTATAATCATTACCACTTAGGAAATAGATAATTTTCAAATAAATCTGTCACTCCAATTTTTATTCTGAGATAAGACAAATCATAACATGACAACAACAATAAAATATTTAAAAATTCTACTTTTGGATATTAAAAATGGCGATAACTCACAAAGGAGATATACTAAAATCTTGAAAATTAATATAGACCTTCATTAAGTCCCAGGAAACAACATATTTAAATTTGAAAAAAAATTGTTAAAGCGTTTTCATCTTATTTTGGCAGCCACCAAACCGCCCAGCCGCCCGCCGTATATCACCATTTTAATAACCGATATTTCCTTCGAAAATCCGGTTAAAAATGGCATATTCTCTCCACAGTAAGTCAAAAGTCGAACCCACTCTTGTTTCTAAGGTAAAACGCAAAACAAATATGAAACAGACTATAGCTTAAAAACTAGTTAAACAATAATTCATTTGTCACCAAAAAATACGGTTTCACATCAAATATCAAGTAAAATTACTGTTTTTGACACTTTCTGAGCACTATGATAAAGAATGTCGACGCTGTATACGGTATTTAATACTTTCTAGAATCATGCAATTCATAGTTCGTTAGATGCACAAATATATATGCCACACAAAAACCATCTTCAAAACGTTCTGGCATTACTCTCTGAATTTTCACAATTTTTTATCAGAGGTGACCCCAGTCAAAAAATTTTAAAAAAAAAATTCTGATTTTTTGAGTAAATGCGGTAATGCTAAAAAGGCCCTGAAGATAATGTCTACTTTCTCCAATGATTCTTTATATGTCATCAAGTACTGATCATACTGATACCAAAACCGATCCAATATGTAACTACTATCGTGAATTTTGAATAACAGTTTTAAATGAAATCATTATCGTATACAAGTACATTTTTGAAACAGACTATAGCATTTCAAAATATGAAAAATGTGTAAATATTTGTGTTTAAACATCAAAAACTATTTGTTAACTACAAAATCTCATGCCTATTCTAATTTTTATAGTCTGTCATTCGAGTGAACATTTCAATGTTCGAAGGGAATCATTTCTGTACATTTTCACTGAATTTTTTCAAACAAATCAGCAGAAGTTCAGAAAATGACATATAGGCCTCTAGCCTTTGTCAGTCTTGTATTATTTTTAATTTTAGTTTCTTGTGTACAATTTGGAGTTTAGTATGGCGTTCATTGTCACTGACCTAGTATATATATTTGTTTAGGGGCCAGCTGAAGGACGCCTCCGGGTGCGGGAATTTCTCGCTGCATTGAAGACCTGTTGGTGACCTTCTGCTGTTGTCTGTTCTATGGTCGGGTTGTTGTCTCTTTGACACGTTCCCCATTTCCATTCTCAATTTTATATTCTCTCCACAGTAAGTCAAAAGTCGAACCCACCCTTGTTTCTAAGGTAAAACGCAATACAAATATGAAACAGACTATAGCTTAAAAACTAGTTAAACAATAATTCATTTGTCACGAAAAAATACGGTTTCACATCAAATATCAAGTAAAATACTGTTTTTGACACTTTCTGAGCACTATGATAAAGAGATGTCGACGCTGTATAGATTGAAATAAACAATTAATTTCCCCATAGGCGACAATGATAGCCTTTTTTTTTGAGATACAGCTTTAGAAAGTTGATTTTTTTAACGAAACCTTGCTAGAATTAAAGAAATGTTATTAGGACAGTATTTTTTGGTCTAAAAAATATAGGTTCGCGTTGCTTTTCTTAGCGTAATTTGTACTTATCTCCCATGCCTATCAATTTTGCACTTAAAATACGTGTATCATCCTAGCGTTTAAAAGACATCTCAGTTCCGTTAGGGCTTAGGAAAATAACTTATTTGGCCTTTGGTATAATGCAGAATGCACGAAGTCTCTAATAACAAAATATAACGGGCGCACATATAAACCAATCAGGATTAGCTTTACTCTTAATTCTGAATACCATGTTATGCTCATAAAATGGCTGCGCCCATAAAATCTAATGGTTGATTGTAACCTACAGTTGGGAATTGAGATAATCTTGCTAACAGAGTATATAGAAATCTGTTTGCATAAGGAAGTTATCCATAACCAATTTCCAAACTGGAATACGAGTGAACAAAAATGAACTGAAGAGTTTTTATTTGACATTTCAATGTATTTTTCTTTTATCAGGGTTGTAAAAGAATTCTCATCAACTGTTGAAGACGTTTAATTACTAGTAAACATTATCATGGTCCGTGAAGTCATATGTTCGGACCAACATGCATTGCTTCAATTATTCTGAACATTCATTTTATGCGTTCCGGAAAGTCAAAACCTTTGAATTTATGACTTATCATCGGAGCTTTGATTTCAGAAATGTCTAAACGGAACGAGTGTTCAGTGGACAAAAATGGAAATTATACCAGAACACAACGCTTACAGAAATAAATGAACAATAAATAACTAATTAATTATTTTAGCGTAACAATGATTTACCTGACTTTTAGTATATTTTTTATTTTTTCTATCCGTCCTCTTGAGAGAAAAAAATATAATATTTAGCGATTTATATAGGTAAAATTTATATTTTGTTTATGGTATAGTAATAACTATGATTCTATTTTGAACTTCTGATAACTATGCTCTCTATCCTTAAAAAAAGTTTGACATGTATTTTCTTATATCGCCGCTCAGTTTAAAGGGGCATTAGCTACGAGATATATAAAAAAAAATTAAAATATGATATTTTTTTTGTTCAATCATAAATGAAAGTGAAGTAGTGAAATAATTAATCGCATTTAGAAGCGAGTTTGGTTCAATTTTGTCAAAATAAGCTAAGAAACATCGCTGATGAATTATTCACTTGCAAGTGAATAATTCGACCTCAACGAATCCGTATTCATGTTACCTTCAATTTAACCCCTTAGCTAGAGATGGGTTACGCATGAAATAGGCGTGTTTAGTTATTAAAAGGAAAAGAATGTCAACATTGAAAGTGAAACAAGGGTAAACCATTTGATTGACTGATTCGATCCACAAAAACTCATTCTTATACAGGTAAAAACGATGATTAAAATATATTTTTAACCTATTATATGAAATCAAACAGACCTAGAAAAATCAATTGCACGAGTTCGCTATCTATTTATATCTATATTTATTTTCATATCGGGTTATATGACCGTCGGAAGTCTTCGGAGGTCACCTCGATGGTTAATTAGATGGCGTCTAGACTAAAATACTCACGAAATGCTGATACATATTATCGAGCCAATGCATTTATAACTTTGATATACGTATTAGTATGTTATAAATCAAATATGAGAATTTGAGTCAAATCGGTGAACAAGAATTTGACTGCAAATGCCCCTTTAAACTATAGTCAAGACTTAAAGTTTATAGTTTTAAGCTGTTCAGATGATACTAAGATCAAAATGGTTTGTTTAGGACTACAACTCAATTCCTAGTGTAAACAGAATATTGAAGAAAACAAAATTGGTTGTTTTGTACAATGTATGTCTACATGTAAACAAACAACTGAATTTAAAAACTATTGAAATTATAGATTTCGACGAAATAAAAACGAAATGTTTACTAAAAGATATAAATATCACTTTTTGTTTTCTCGAAGCTGAAAGCAAATTATTCTTACCCGGTGAAAATATTTTTCTTTTATTGGAACAGGTCTTCAAGTAGCAGGAACAATCTTCATGTTGTGGTTTACAAAAGCATAGGTTGTTTGGTTTAACCAGGAAATCATAACCTCGTCTGTAGTCACATCTGCATGTAGTATCAGTGTTACGGTTTCCACGGTCATATACAACTTGACCCTCCTCATTGCAGAATGATTTAAAAAATAAACAATGTGTACTAACATTTGTGTAAAACCTGAGTGGGAATGGTTGATATCTTTCTTTAGAACATATATCTGCATCTATTCCCCCACGAAGAACTGCTTTTCTACCTGTAATGAATAAGTTGGTTCGTAGTATCATTCTCTTCCTAGCGAATCTACAAGCGTGCTTTTTTCTGTCATCCTTTTTCTTGCAATAATGTGCTTATCGTTTACAATGTGTAGAACTTTTCTGTTTTGCTTTAGTGCTTCTACTACATGCGTTTAAGAAACATCATTTTTAAGGGATCAATGCTTATTTCGTTTGATGATTCTATCAATCAAATGCACATATCGACTTTACTGCACCTATGATTATACTGTAAATTATATATTTATTTCAATGTGCTTTCGATGAGTTTCGGGAAGGCGGCATAATGTTCCAAGACCAGATAGAGTGTGCCACCTTTGTGGCATCGACGATGAATTCCATTATGTAATGTGTTGTCCTTTTATTAAAAAAAAACGGTATAGATATTTACCACAATAGTGTTGTACAAATGTTATTATTCTTTAATTCAATAATGTATTCACCACAGTCAATATTGTTTTACTAGAAAAGTTGTGTAAGATTTATTAATTACTTATTAGTGAAAGTCTGTCCTCCTCGTTAAAGTACATTTATTTATGAAATTTCCCCACCCGCAATTTTCACACGTGTGTATAATATCATATTTGTAAAAACTATGTAATTTAGTTAACGAGAATAAAGATCTATCTATATATCTAAAGATTGTATGTATTAAGCAGTTCTAATTAAGGTGGATTAACTATATACAGCATCTTTGGTAAAATAGCAGTACACAACCGGTCTAGTTCTTTGCTTAAATCTGCAAATTTTGAGAAAGCTTGGCAATAAATGTTTTTTAATAAAGAAAAAAATAGTGATTTATTGCATTATTTAGACTGTTTATCAAATACAAAACATTGGTGTTTGTTAGAATATCTTTTATCAATTTAGCGTTTAAGGGGAGATAACTTAAATTGAAAAAATTTTGTAAAAGAATTTTAATGAAATTTTTATTTTATACTTGTAGCAAGAAAACAAGTTCGGTGACACCATTGTTTTTATTTCATTTATTTTTTTAAAGCATATATTTATGCATATATTATAAAACCTATCTTCTGATATTTATTTCAAAATTCTGTCTCATAGATTTCATTTTATTCACAAAAAAGGTTTTTTTTCATGAATACTATATGCAAATTTGGGCAAAACTTGAAAAATAGCACGGTGACCCATACTTTTTATTATATTTTTGAAAAAGCATGATAAAGTCATAACTTTGGCAAGTTTTAGAGAATACCATCTGAGGAAATATATACCGATGATTCACCTTAAATGAGAAGTCATTCAATAGACTTGCGTTAATGTTTGTGTTTTGTGTTCGAAACAAGACATACAGTGTTTGGAGTTAACATGAAAACAAACAAAGTTCGTAAATACAAATGCTTTACGGTCGAAATTCGAAAGTAGGTTTTGATTCGAGCGCAACTGATGAGTCTAATCTGGACAAAACGCGAATCTGGTTAACGAAACTATATATCTGTTTTTTTTTTTATGATTTAAATGGACGTGTGGTTTTCGTTCTGATATACAAATGAGGAGATGTGGTATGATTGCTAATGAGACAACTATCCACCAAGGTTCAAATAAAGTGGATGTAAACAGTTAAAGGCACCCGTACGGCCTTCAATAATGAGAAAAATCCATACCGTATAGTCGGCTATAAAAGGCCCCTTTATGAAAAATATGAAACAATTAAATTAAGAAAACTAACGGCCTAATTTATAACAAAACAATTTACGAAAAACAAATATGACAGACGTGAGCATGTTTAGGATAATCATGTAGCTTTTTGTAAAAGAAAAAATGTAATTTCTGATGTTGTTTAAATGCACTTACCTGGTTGCTGAAAGTCGGACCTTGTACAGTTTTCAGAATATCCGTTGATAAGATCATTCCTTAAACAAAAATATTTTGATGGATCCGCACAGAGACTATTTGCACGGAGTGCCCATTGCGCTGTTTCAGGACATTTCAGCGGAAATGCTGCGCATAAATGTATCTAAAATAAAGCAATGATACATGCATATGTTTATATTTATCTGCATTGAAACATTTGTTACTCTTATTCTAGCAATGGTATCTGTTTACCTATTATATGTCCTGGCATTGATGTATATGTTCCTTAAAATCTTGTACATTTCTTATGAAAAAATAAAGTTTGTCTTCTCCTTTTTATGTCAAAATCGGCATCCAACAAGCACAAGTTAACAAAATTGCTCATTTACATGTAATTACACGGATGAACAAGCTCAAACGACGTACGGCAAGCTCTAGATGTTTTATTTTATCTAGTCAAGATGCTAAAGAATACAACAGAGATGGCAAAAATCAATCAAGCACCAACACCAAGTTATCAGTTTTCAAGATATTTAAGATACAGCATGCTAATCAGATTGGTTGTGATTTTTTTACATTAAAGAGAGGGGGGCTAATACTCAGTAGGAATTCAACCATTTTGTATTATCTTGATCAGTAGTAGAACAATAGATATTATATCACAATTATCAATGAAAGACTAACGAAAAAGCAAAAAATATTGGTATTACAGAATTCCGACTCACAATTAACCAAACGATAATTGTTTATATATACATTGTTATATGAAATCATAGAATGCTAATAGTTGCCAGTGGTCGTTGTTTTAAAAACAAAAGGTTCGCCTTTTATTCTATATAAAAATAATAAAACTTGACAAGCAACAAAACAAAAACCCAATTTGATGACTGAAACAAACCCCATAAACTAATAAAATTGCTGCATTAAAATAATACTTGAATAGTTGTTTAAAGAATCAAGTATTCTATTACATAGAAGATTACGATATTTCAAATTATTAGCATAATTGTAAAATCTTTGACAAAAACTGGGTATTTAATGGCTTTTATGTACATCAAACCAAAACAATCGATAATATAAGTTGTTATTGGTCAGATAAAAAGCACATATACAAGCTCAAATATATATTTGTCAACAAAAGCAGGAAGGGATATATCCAAAGCAATGTTTCGAATAATTATGATTAAACGTCGTTGACTTACCAACATCAATAGCTTGTACCACATAACTGTTGAATTCTTGTTTACTAGTGTGAAGCTACATCTGCAATTAAACGATTGAAGCATTTAAATCTAAAAACTAATCCAAAACTTGAACAAAATCTAAATGTAGTATAAACACATGTGATAGTATATATACGACTAACGTCCGATATACAAAAATAACTCATCGTTTTTGCTTGAATATGAAATGATTTAACAGTAAATGATGCATGCACATCAAGTAAACTAAGTAAATCTGAATTGAAGTTAAAGGCCCTCTTCTTCCTGTCACCAAATTGCTGACGAGAAAGTTATTCCTATAATATCAATAAGACAATAAAAAGTTGTAGCTAATCTATATTTGTATCAGGTTTAGGTACTTTGGTCTCAAACCTACCTGATGAAAGTTGTTTTGTGCACATTAAAAAGTAAAACAACAAAAATACCGAACTCCAAGGAAAATTCAAAACGGAAAGTCCCTAAACAATTGGCAAAATCAAAAGCTCAAACACATCAAACTAATGGAAAACAACTGTCATATTCCTGACTTGGTACAGGCATTTTCTTATGTAGCAAATGATGGATTAAACCTGGTTTTAAAGCTGAAAATCTTACGACAATATGACATATAAGTTAACAGACGGCTTCCACAAGTGAAGCAGGATCTGCTTACACTTTCGGTGTAACTGATATATACGTGATGTATATTAAGACGTGATCTTTGAATTTATATCATACGTTTATATATAATTTTCCTGATTAAGTTATATATACACGAAGGTGTTTGCAGATGAATTCGCTGATACTTTTTTATTAGATTTTCTGCACTAAACATCAGTTTCATAATAGGTTATGATACTTGAGTTGTTAAAAGGAGATCGAAATTGCAACAACTCGTTTACAATGATGTGGATTTTTCGGCTTGATTAGGAAATATGATGGCATTTTATTAATGTCTATTCTTTAACATTAATTTTCTTGAAATTTTGTGATGAAAATTATAGTGTCATTATGCTTTATATAAGTAATGCAATTATATAATACGTAACGAAGGCTAGAAAAAGAAGGAAAGCTGAACATATCTGTAAAAAATATCTAGGATAAAAGGTGATCGTAAGATGTTCAGTAATGGTAATACATTTTTTTTTTGTAATTTATTGTCTTCAAGAAACGCATCTTTTATCGAAGAATCTATGTATGAATAATAACCTAAATAAATATATGTAAGCATGTTAAATCCTTTCCATATGGTGTCACGTTCTTTGCACATAAACGAAATCTGAAATACTGTATTGTAATTTTTTGCATCAAACGCATTCTTCGACGAGTTTAAGCAAATCATCAACTATCAATCAATTTTACAAATATTTCAATTGAAGGCACGGGTTTAGAGTATAAAAGAAAGGCAAAAGATATCAAAGGGACATCTAAACTGGTTAGTCAAATATTAACTGACAATGCCATGACAAAAAACTTAAAACAATCAAAAGTCAAACAACAGTAAACAAACCACAAAATAAAAAAAAAAACAAAGACTAAGCAACACGAACCCCACCAAATAACCGGGGGATAACTCAGGTGCTCCGCAAGGTCAAGCATATCATGCTTCATATATGACACCCGTCGTGTTACTCCTATAAATTATGTTTGTACGTTATATCAAGTGATAAGCAATCACGCAATAACGGATTGGTAATTTTGATTTACTTTTATCTAACCTTAAGACATCACGAAATTTATAAACCATCGGTCATATAACCCTGAATCTTACCAAATGTGAACTTTTTGAAAGTTGAAAATTTTTGTTAACTTATATGTCATTTGGTCTCTGGTGAAAAGTTGTCTCATGGGCAATCATCCTACATCTTCTTCTTTTTATATTTTCATGACATATAACAGACAATACGGGTACCGTTATAAATATCACATACATTCATCATTAAAAACTACAACAAGAGCAGCACGAATCATTTTTAAACAAAAGTAGGGGTGATCTCAGGTGCACAGAAAGTGTAAGCAGATCCTGCTTCACTTGTGGCACTCGTCTGTTTGATAATGTAAGCACAAACCCGCTGGTAAGCCTAATTCGGAAGGTCACATTCGAGGATAAGAGGACGTGAATGTGGTTACATTTTTTGTACGACAAGTGGAACATATCCGTTGTCATCTGTGAAACGGATATTCAATAACGATCAACCAACTCGTGATAGCGTCTGTAAATTTTTTTCGAAGGGATGATTTCAACTTTATCACTTGGAACTATTGGTTTAATATCTTCCGTGTAAGAAGCAACCGTCTATGAAGGAAATCATTATACGAAATACAAGCTCTGGAATATCGTTTCAACTTGGATATATAAACTAAAATATAATCTTTATAATTGTTGAAGTTCATGTAAAGTTTAGATGTACATGCGTTATAGTAAAAAGCGAAAACAAATAATCAATAATCATAAGTTATCTCAAAGTAAAGGTGTGAAAATGGCTTAATGTTCCAATTAATAATTGACACTGAATCATATTGTGAAATCACATCAGCAAATTAATGACAAGAAACCCTATTAAGTGTTTTTTCTAAAATTGATCAAAACCTTGAAGATCATACCCAACACGAATGCCATACAAAACCAAAGTATTAAAACAAAACCAAAGTATTAAACTAAACAATATAATAAGCAAAAAAACAAGCAAAAAAAAAACAAATAACAAGTTCTTTCACGATGAGTAAGCCACAAATAGACGAAAATGACAACTTATCGCAAAATTATATTGCTCAGACCCTCTGAAATGTCTCAATGGTAGATATGTTGACAAACTTTTAATTCATTCATATCAAATGAATAAAAATTTAATGAGGGATGTGTCATTTAAAAGCGATACTTGTAATAAGAATATATTGAAACTGCAAAAAAAAGTTAACTATTCTAATATGACGTGCTTCTTTTGCTTTGTAAACAACACCGTGATAAAATTCTCGATATATCAATACTTAGCGCAGGCTCAGAGGTGTACATTATTATGACTGTTATAAGATACCTCCCACGTAAATCCACATGTATCGTAACCTATGTGCAAAAGCTATGCCGATTTCGCTGTGTTGAAAATTGCTGCAATTGAAAAAAAACACAGAACCTTTATTATTATGCTGATGCATAACAAAAAGAATTACTGCATTAGAGCTCGGAAAAATGTACAAAATCAAATTAAAATAAAATTCCGCGAAATTCTACTAATGCTTTTGGCACATTAAAGTCATTTCAAAACAAGACGTCATACGAATGAAAAAGCTAAAGCTGAAGGTTTTCCCGTTACGTGAACCCTCAAATTTCGAATAATATTGCATTAAAATGGAGTTTTCAGGTAGGTGTTGTTTTATTTTCTATTTCATTGCATTATTCGAACATTTACTCATTTCAGCAAGTCAACATGGCGGCTCCTTAAGTTACGAAATGTCAACTGTGGATCCGACGGTAGCTTACGACAAAATAAATGTAAATTAAAAATAACAAATGTTGGGTTTCAGAATTAAAAGAATTAAACAATTTTTTTCTAGAGTTTATTTAAGAAATAATTCATGCAAGCTATATATTTATTGGAAATTTTTAGCTTTATCTAACAGGGGGTAAAATAGAACAGCAACACACACGGCATATCCACCCTCGCTTCAATTTTTAAAATTACCATTTTTGTCCTATTAGAATTGAAATAATTCATGAAAGCAATAGATTTGTTGGAAATTTACACATGTCCTAAGCCATGTGTAAATTTCAAACAAATCTATGGCTTCCATAAATTATTTTTTAATTAGATAGTTACAGGAAGATGATTACAGTTTACGTGTTGATGAATATGCATCAGGCTGTAGTTGAGAATGCAAAGGTTGATTCAAAATTATAAGTAGCCAATACATGTATGCAACATGAAACAATCAATAATAAACATTTAACAACAATTTAAAGAATACCTTTAATTCAAAACATGTTGCAAGTATTTATTCAAAAATTTGTGCGTGCAGTTATTATTGCGATATTGATATGACAGACTAAATGTGAGAATACTTTTTCCTGTTACATATACTTATATACGTGTCAGATTTCTAAATGCGAGTTTTCGTTATTGCTATACTCAACTAGTCGCATTATTCGCAATAATAAAAACCTCGCAAAATTTATGAATTACCAGTAACTGAATCGAATAACTTGCTGCAAAAGAAACTTGAGGGTAAAATTTTGGCAGCCACGTTTAGGTAATAAATCAATAAATGGGAACACTTCCACTCAGTTTGATGAGATGATCAGTTTAAAAACCCACATTTCTAATGTTATTCCAAAAAAAAATCCCTTTTGATAATTAAAAGTATCCACAGACAAAAGAAACGGGAATTGTTGCAAACATAAAGCTTTGATCCAATATAAATACCATCCACGCAGTTAAACTGTCTATATCAGTTCTGGTCGATACAAACAGAAGCTATTATGGGGGTTTAGCCTTTTTTTAGACAAAATTATGTTAAAAAACATGTAAAAACTATGAAAAATACATGCAAAGATTATCAGTGGGTTTAACAAGAGAAATATTTCGTTATTTCACCTTCAGATCTATATATTTGTTCAGTACATATACACTACTTATTTAATCTTAATAGTGTTATTCATACTGGTATGAAGCTTAACTTGTAACACACGAATAAATGGGAAAATTTACAATATTATAAATAGTATTATAGTAAAGGGCGATAACTCGGTTACCAGATCATTTCCTGTGGAAATAGGAGTTCGCGAAGGGGACAATTAAAGTCCCACTCTGTTGAAGATTTTCATTTACGACCTCCCATCATATCTACAAACATGCTTTGATTCTGTGAAACGTATATGTAATGATTTACATTGCTTAATATTTGCAGATGATGTTCTACTTTTTCAACTGAGTTAGAGGGATTGCAATACAAACTTAAAATTTTAGAAAAATATTGAATCTAAAAAAAAGATGTGTGTCCAGTTATAAATATCTGGGTATACATTATTTCAGCTTCATTAAGTTTTTCATTAACTTAAATTGGCGTTATAAAAAAGCACTGAAAGGATGTTGCAAATTAAGAAAATAATGTTCAAGTATAAATCCGGTATAGACTGGTTTAATTACATGTATTTAATAATAATAAGCAAACCCGCTATTCTAATTCAGTGGCACTTAAATAGGATTGATGTTATAAGATAAAGAATTTACCATGTGAACAGTTACATGTCAAGTTTTGCAATGTTATATTAGGCGAGCTAATAAATATTGTTACCAAAACAACTTGGTACGCCTGAATTACAAAATTGTTAAACAAATTTAGATATTAGAGAAAGTCGTGAAAGTACATCCCATTAGTGACAGGAAGTTCTTTTTCAAAACTTCTTTACTAAAGAGGTGACAGTAGTATCGACTGGTTAAAAAGTGAAGGTTTTGCGCCATAATATCTGGTTTTGCAACTAACTTTGCTTTTGAGGAGAATGTTCTATCCATGTCATGGGATCATTTTTACTCATAATTTCTACGTATTAAATTTCAGGTGATGAATGGCTTCTTTTACTGCTAACTAAGAGGCAAAGTTGACTCTCCTTGACTTAATTTGGCTACTCCCTTTAGCTCTATTCGGAGCTAAGATTTCAAATATTGTTTTATCTTTGTTCTAACTTACTTTCAGCGAAGAGTGATCTAAATGAAGGCCTAGGGTTTCCAAGGTAGCAAAATTCCGCATGTTTTAGACTAAGATTTGCATATTGTTTAAATGCTAGTGGACATTTTTATATATATGTTCATTAATGTTAGTATAAAGTAAAATAACAAAAACTCAAAACTCCAAGGAAAATTCGAACGGAAAGTCCCTTAACAAATAGCAAAATCATCAAACGAATAGAAAACAGCTGTCATATTCCTGACTTGGTACAGACATTTCCTTATGTAGAAAATGGTGGATTAAACCTGGTTTATTGCTAGCTTAACCTCTTACTTGTATGACAGTCGCATAAAATTCCATTATATTGACCACAACGTGTGAGCAAAACAAACAGACATTATTGGTTAAAATTGGGGTACAGCAGACAACATTGTGTTATAATCTTAATCTCTATAAAAACAAACAACTATGTCACCAAAGAAAAACAAAATGACATGAAGACACTCTATAGATAAAGCACATAAGTAAAAATGAAAGACAAAGAATACAAAAAATGACCATAGCACAATAACACAATGGCGAGATGTATAAATACCAATCCCCGCCAAAAGGATATTACCAAAAATGGACTAAACAGAACAGGTTAAAAATATACAACGACAAATAAAAAGAACACTATAACACGTAATAAAGACGATAAACAACTTCAATACCTAGAATCTGTACGTCAAAACCATCATGTATTATTTGTGAAGTTGATACGGAATATTTATCAACAAGGTCTTAGTATCTTCCGATGAACTTTTTTAGAAAAAGGACGAGACGTTCTTTGGAACAACCCTGGTTCATCACATTTTTGCTCAGACACTGGTGACATTTCATAAATTCTGAGTAGCAGATGCAAGCTCTTGAATACCGAATAAATTGGGAAATGAATATCCCATATGCAGGTGAAGTTGGCATATTGCTGCTAAGGTGGGGGACATTTATAGTTACAAAATATGTTATTGCATGTTTTAACCGAAGACCATGTTAGTAAAATATTTACCTTACCATTTTCACATATTTTTAACACTATGAGGTCCGTTGAAAACATGATTCCCTTACAAGAGACACGATAAGAAATTCATCTGTTCAATAAAACAGCCAAACATGTCGTTAAATGGCGTCCTCTTCTGTTTCAGAGGCGATCTCGAGGGTTTCTGTGTTATATGAAAAGCAGCATTCTAACATGTTTAACCTTTCTTTTTTTCGTAAAATATAGAGCATTATTTATTCTGACTAGACGGTAGCTAAAAATGTAACATACACGCGCTTTGTGGAATTTAAAGATTAAAATTCGACAAGTGTTGTCTGAACGGCACCCCTTAATTGTAGAAGAATTTGTAGGTATCTTGTAATAATAATTTAGAAAAGCCTTTCTTAATTGTATGTCAAATACAAACATTGACACATATTTATAAACCAAATCTCAAAACAGAAATCTCTTAACATTAGAAACAATTGTCCCAACACTTTCTTTATCATCATTCAGGTATCTAACTTGAGGTATTGAAAAGGTTATGGATTAAATATGTGTTACTATCTTTACATCCATATCAATAATTATAGTATCAAATGGCAAACAAACAATGAATATGTTTGTGACATATATGTATGATAGCAAAAATAGTATAATTATTTCGTTATTATATTTTGTTTTATTAAATTCAGAAGTTTAAATCCTAAAGACACCCCTGTTTACAGATTGAATTGATCATCCGGGTATATGTGTTAGCTATACAATCAACAACTATTTTAATTGGATCGATAATGTATATTTAAATAACCAAGTGACACACTTAATATTCTTTTGAGTATTTCATTTGTTATTCAAGGTACTCTAGATAGTGTGATTCCCTGTACTAGCTAAACTATAGTGTTGTTCATTTTTCTTCTCGAATTATTTACCTATAAGTAAAGTTTTGATTTATTTTAACACAAACTATCACATGCATTTTCAGTGAAGTATATGTATTAAATGTGACTTCTTTCTCTTGTGTTGTGCTTAATGCTGTGGAAAATACTATAAATAGATAGATTTAAATTTAGAAATATATTTTATTCTAAACAAGTAGTTTTCCCTATGGTATCAATCCAACGATATATCCACTTTACCACAGATACGATTTCTTTAGAGTGTCTACATGTTTATAAATACTATATCAATCTGTATATATAACATATATATTGCACAGAATAGTGTTATTAATGTTAATAAAAAAGTATGAATAATACAAATAAAAATCAATCTTTTCTAAGTATTGAATACTGTAAATTTTGAAATTGTAAAGTGCATTTATTATTGCGATTTTTGAAGAAATGACAAAAATGTGAGTTTTATTTTTGAGATGTCAATAAAATCTGCATATTAAAGATACACACGATATATGTATCAGATATTAGACGTGTTTGGAAAGTCAATAAGATCGTTGTTCCCCCTTTTCTTGATATTTTGTTGAACGACTACAAAGAAAATCCACAAAGTGATCAAACTAAATGAATTTATAAAAAACACTGCAATCAAATCACATCCGAATCCGATTTTTTTACATCAAACTTTGTTCAAAATGTTCGTTTATTTGAAATATATTTAAAATATACTTTTCATGTCGGGGCCTTTCATAGCTTTTATGCAGGATGGGTTTTGCTTCTTGTTGAGGACCATACGGTGAGCTATAGTTGCAAACATCTGCGTTATTTTGTCTCTGGTGGATAGTTGTCTTCTTTGGCAATAATACCACATCTCCTTATTTTATATCATGTTTCTAGAATAGAAAAACGTGTAGCTTTAAATTCTAATAAAAAAAAATAGAAATTTGTGTACTTAAAAATAATATATTATATAGAATGAAACAAAAGTGTATTAAATTTGATTATCTTGTAATATTTTTTTATTTGATCTAGAAAAGGTCACTATGGCAATTTAATTTAATGCTGAAAAGGGACAATACCTAAAACAAACACGTTAAAATGTGTGAATAAATTCACATTTTAACCCACATTTTCTTTCTATCAACTTTTGTCAGTTAGTTTTTCGGACAGAAGAGGTTATCGAATTAAGTTTTAAAAGATTACACATTTGGGCACTATTCAAGCATGTTAAATTTTACGTTTCGATGAAGGGTCGGAAATTTTTTGCTTGTTATCACGGCTTCCTCCACCAACAAAACAGAACATCACGATTTTATCTATTGAGATATTGATGAAAGTGGCGTTAAAACTTTCATATGTAGAAGTTAATTTTATTATCTTTGGGTCAGGAGAATATTTTGAAAATGGAATATTCATTGTCACCTCTCGCAAAGCCTGATAAATTATATGTCGGCCAATTTTTTTTATATTTTTTTTTCGATTTCCTTCATTTTGTTTTGCCTACTATTCACTATATACTCCGCTTTCTAAATTGGACGGTATATAGTGATGGGTGGATGAGTCCATCCGTCCGTTCTTTCGTTCGTTCGTCTTTCTGTCCATTCATTGCATCCATACCCAGATAGTAGTAGACAATACAAATCGCACACTGCTCGTTAAAAGCGGTTTGCTTGAACATTAAAACGATGCGCAGCAAGACAACCTTCTTCCAAGAATTGGAACTAACGTGGAATTAGATTTTCCTCCAATATGTGTTATTTTAGGTGATAAGATTTATGTGAACCGTCCAACAATGGTAACGCCATATAGGAGACACCAAATAAGACAAAACCGCAAGGGAGAAAAAGAAAATTCAAAAAACTAAAGTTTATGTCGAACACGCCATCGATCAGACGTTAAAACATTTAGGGTTGTCGGAACTTTGTGGAGACATCCAAGACACGAATCAAAACAAATTGTTGAATTGTGTACTGGACATGTGGAGAGACAAACTGAGTTATTTGTTATATGAAAAGCAGCATTCTAACATGTTTAACCTTTCTTTTTTTCGTAAAATATAGAGCATTATTTATTCTGACTAGACGGTAGCTAAAAATGTAACATACACGCGCTTTGTGGAATTTAAAGATTAAAATTCGACAAGTGTTGTCTGAACGGCACCCCTTAATTGTAGAAGAATTTGTAGGTATCTTGTAATAATAATTTAGAAAAGCCTTTCTTAATTGTATGTCAAATACAAACATTGACACATATTTATAAACCAAATCTCAAAACAGAAATCTCTTAACATTAGAAACAATTGTCCCAACACTTTCTTTATCATCATTCAGGTATCTAACTTGAGGTATTGAAAAGGTTATGGATTAAATATGTGTTACTATCTTTACATCCATATCAATAATTATAGTATCAAATGGCAAACAAACAATGAATATGTTTGTGACATATATGTATGATAGCAAAAATAGTATAATTATTTCGTTATTATATTTTGTTTTATTAAATTCAGAAGTTTAAATCCTAAAGACACCCCTGTTTACAGGTTGAATTGATCATCCGGGTATATGTGTAAGCTATGCGGTTATAAACTATTTTAATTGGATCGATAATGTATATTTAAATAACCAAGTGACACACTTAATATTCTTTTGAGTATTTCATTTGTTATTCAAGGTACTCTAGATAGTGTGATTCCCTGTACTAGCTAAACTATAGTGTTGTTCATTTTTCTTCTCGAATTATTTACCTATAAGTAAAGTTTTGATTTATTTTAACACAAACTATCACATGCATTTTCAGTGAAGTATATGTATTAAATGTGACTTCTTTCTCTTGTGTTGTGCTTAATGCTGTGGAAAATACTATAAATAGATAGATTTAAATTTAGAAATATATTTTATTCTAAACAAGTAGTTTTCCCTATGGTATCAATCCAACGATATATCCACTTTACCACAGATACGATTTCTTTAGAGTGTCTACATGTTTATAAATACTATATCAATCTGTATATATAACATATATATTGCACAGAATAGTGTTATTAATGTTAATAAAAAAGTATGAATAATACAAATAAAAATCAATCTTTTCTAAGTATTGAATACTGTAAATTTTGAAATTGTAAAGTGCATTTATTATTGCGATTTTTGAAGAAATGACAAAAATGTGAGTTTTATTTTTGAGATGTCAATAAAATCTGCATATTAAAGATACACACGATATATGTATCAGATATTAGACGTGTTTGGAAAGTCAATAAGATCGTTGTTCCCCCTTTTCTTGATATTTTGTTGAACGACTACAAAGAAAATCCGCAAAGTGATCAAACTAAATGAATTTATAAAAAACACTGCAATCAAATCACATCCGAATCCGATTTTTTTACATCAAACTTTGTTCAAAATGTTCGTTTATTTGAAATATATTTAAAATATACTTTTCATGTCGGGGCCTTTCATAGCTTTTATGCAGGATGGGTTTTGCTTCTTGTTGAGGACCATACGGTGAGCTATAGTTGCAAACATCTGCGTTATTTTGTCTCTGGTGGATAGTTGTCTTCTTTGGCAATAATACCACATCTCCTTATTTTATATCATGTTTCTAGAATAGAAAAACGTGTAGCTTTAAATTCTAATAAAAAAAAATAGAAATTTGTGTACTTAAAAATAATATATTTTATAGAATGAAACAAAAGTGTATTAAATTTGATTATCTTGTAATATTTTTTTATTTGATCTAGAAAAGGTCACTATGGCAATTTAATTTAATGCTGAAAAGGGACAATACCTAAAACAAACACGTTAAAATGTGTGAATAAATTCACATTTTAACCCACATTTTCTTTCTATCAACTTTTGTCAGTTAGTTTTTCGGACAGAAGAGGTTATCGAATTAAGTTTTAAAAGATTACACATTTGGGCACTATTCAAGCATGTTAAATTTTACGTTTCGATGAAGGGTCGGAAATTTTTTGCTTGTTATCACGGCTTCCTCCACCAACAAAACAGAACATCACGATTTTATCTATTGAGATATTGATGAAAGTGGCGTTAAAACTTTCATATGTAGAAGTTAATTTTATTATCTTTGGGTCAGGAGAATATTTTGAAAATGGAATATTCATTGTCACCTCTCGCAAAGCCTGATAAATTATATGTCGGCCAATTTTTTTTATATTTTTTTTTCGATTTCCTTCATTTTGTTTTGCCTACTATTCACTATATACTCCGCTTTCTAAATTGGACGGTA